TTGTCGCGCCAACATCTCTATTTGCACGTAAAAAAACAATTGTGTACGTTTGTCGCGCCAACATCTCTATTTCCACGTAAAAAAATAATTGTGTACGTTTGTCGCGCCAACATCTCTATTTCCACGTAAAAAAATAATTGTGTACGTTTGTCGCGCCAACATCTCTATTTGCACGTAAAAAAACAATTGTGTACGTTTGTCGCGCCAACATCTCTATTTCCACGTAAAAAAATAATTGTGTACGTTTGTCGCGCCAACATCTCTATTTCCACGTAAAAAAATAATTGTGTACGTTTGTCGCGCCAACATCTCTATTTCCACGTAAAAAAATAATTGTGTACGTTTGTCGCGCCAACATCTCTATTTCCACATAAAAAAATAATTGTGTACGTTTGTCGCGCCAACATCTCTATTTGCACGTAAAAAAACAATTGTGTACGTTTGTCGCGCCAACATCTCTATTTCCACGTAAAAAAATTGTGTACGTTTGTCGCGCCAACATCTCTATTTCCACGTAAAAAAATAATTGTGTACGTTTGTCGCGCCAACATCTCTATTTGCACGTAAAAAAACAATTGTGTACGTTTGTCGCGCCAACATCTCTATTTCCACGTAAAAAAATAATTGTGTACGTTTGTCGCGCCAACATCTCTATTTCCACGTAAAAAAATAATTGTGTACGTTTGTCGCGCCAACATCTCTATTTGCACGTAAAAAAACAATTGTGTACGTTTGTCGCGCCAACATCTCTATTTCCACGTAAAAAAATAATTGTGTACGTTTGTCGCGCCAACATCTCTATTTCCACGTAAAAAAATAATTGTGTACGTTTGTCGCGCCAACATCTCTATTTCCACGTAAAAAAATAATTGTGTACGTTTGTCGCGCCAACATCTCTATTTCCACGTAAAAAAATAATTGTGTACGTTTGTCGCGCCAACATCTCTATTTCCACATAAAAAAATAATTGTGTACGTTTGTCGCGCCAACATCTCTATTTGCACGTAAAAAAACAATTGTGTACGTTTGTCGCGCCAACATCTCTATTTCCACGTAAAAAAATTGTGTACGTTTGTCGCGCCAACATCTCTATTTCCACGTAAAAAAATAATTGTGTACGTTTGTCGCGCCAACATCTCTATTTGCACGTAAAAAAACAATTGTGTACGTTTGTCGCGCCAACATCTCTATTTCCACGTAAAAAAATAATTGTGTACGTTTGTCGCGCCAACATCTCTATTTGCACGTAAAAAAACAATTGTGTACGTTTGTCGCGCCAACATCTCTATTTGCACGTAAAAAAACAATTGTGTACGTTTGTCGCGCCAACATCTCTATTTCCACGTAAAAAAATAATTGTGTACGTTTGTCGCGCCAACATCTCTATTTCCACGTAAAAAAATAATTGTGTACGTTTGTCGCGCCAACATCTCTATTTCCACGTAAAAAAATAATTGTGTACGTTTGTCGCGCCAATATCTCTATTTGCACGTAAAAAAACAATTGTGTACGTTTGTCGCGCCAACATCTCTATTTGCACGTAAAAAAACAATTGTGTACGTTTGTCGCGCCAACATCTCTATTTGCACGTAAAAAAACAATTGTGTACGTTTGTCGCGCCAACATCTCTATTTCCACGTAAAAAAATAATTGTGTACGTTTGTCGCGCCAACATCTCTATTTGCACGTAAAAAAACAATTGTGTACGTTTGTCGCGCCAACATCTCTATTTCCACGTAAAAAAATAATTGTGTACGTTTGTCGCGCCAACATCTCTATTTCCACGTAAAAAAATAATTGTGTACGTTTGTCGCGCCAACATCTCTATTTCCACGTAAAAAAATAATTGTGTACGTTTGTCGCGCCAACATCTCTATTTCCACGTAAAAAAATAATTGTGTACGTTTGTCGCGCCAACATCTCTATTTCCACGTAAAAAAATAATTGTGTACGTTTGTCGCGCCAACATCTCTATTTGCACGTAAAAAAACAATTGTGTACGTTTGTCGCGCCAACATCTCTATTTCCACGTAAAAAAATAATTGTGTACGTTTGTCGCGCCAACATCTCTATTTCCACGTAAAAAAATAATTGTGTACGTTTGTCGCGCCAACATCTCTATTTCCACGTAAAAAAATAATTGTGTACGTTTGTCGCGCCAACATCTCTATTTCCACGTAAAAAAATAATTGTGTACGTTTGTCGCGCCAACATCTCTATTTGCACGTAAAAAAACAATTGTGTACGTTTGTCGCGCCAACATCTCTATTTCCACGTAAAAAAATAATTGTGTACGTTTGTCGCGCCAACATCTCTATTTGCACGTAAAAAAACAATTGTGTACGTTTGTCGCGCCAACATCTCTATTTCCACGTAAAAAAATAATTGTGTACGTTTGTCGCGCCAACATCTCTATTTCCACGTAAAAAAATAATTGTGTACGTTTGTCGCGCCAACATCTCTATTTGCACGTAAAAAAACAATTGTGTACGTTTGTCGC